CATAACTCCTATGAATTATGTATTATGCATTTGCATTACGCACTGGGAGTCCACATCGTGTGTTATGTATTATGTATTATTATGTATTATGTATTATGTATTATGTATTATGCACTGCCACTGGAAGTCCACATCGTCTGTTATGTATTATGTATTACGTATTACGTATTACGTATTACGCACTGGGAGTCCACATCGTATGTTATGTATTATGCATTATGTATTATGCATTATGTATGATGTAGACCGGCGAGATGGGGCGCAGCCCCAGCGAGCTCGTTTTTAGAGCGAGCGCAGCGAGCCGATAGAATAGAAAAGGTAGGGTTAGTGTTAACCCGGTCGGTGATAAGCCCGGAAATATATGTGACAAGAAGATCCCCAGCGAGCTCCGCTGTTGCCAGTGCACATACAACCCTAGCCAACTTATGGCAGCCCTAGCGGCAGCGCGAAGTTAGGGTCTGGGCCGGGGGGGGGGGGGGGTTGTTAAGGCTTCATGCTGCGGAACGGAATTCCCCCCAGCTTTTACACACAAACCGGGGGAAGGTTGCGGCGCTTGAATACATAATACGGATACGTAATGCGTAGTACATAGCCCTCTCCGGCGGGCTTTCGGCGCTTGATGCATAATACGGATACGTAATACGTAGTACATAGCCCTCTCCGGCGGGCTTTCGGCGCTTGATACATAATACGGATACGTAATGCGTAGTACATAGCTCTCTCCGGCGGGCTTTCGGCGCTTGATACATAATGCGGATACGTAATGCGTAGTACATAGCCCTCTCCGGCGGGCTTTCGGTGCTTGATACATAATGCGGATACGTAATGCGTAGTCCATAGCCCTCCCACGTGCAGGCGCCGCTGAGTGATGCATAATACGGATACGTAAGGTAAGGTAAGGTAAGGTAAACTTCTCCACACACACGAGGTGGTGGGGCAAGGGGGGGCAACCCTCGCGTCTCCACGTCTGACGACAGGAGCCCCACGGCATTCAAAGTGCAAGGCCCAGTGCGCGTGGGTGAGCGGTGTGTGTGTGTGTGTGTGTGTGTGTGTGTGTGTGTGTGTGTGTGTGTGTGTGTGTGTGTGTGTGTGTGTCTCACGTCACTGCATCCTCCGCCGGTTCCTCCCGTCGCCTCTTCTTTGTTCGAATGTTTTTCAATCCATCCTTCACGAAGCCCTCCCATGTAGCTAGCGTTCTTGGCGAATGTCTCGAAATGGCCAGCAGGCGCTGTCTGCTCGCGGTCTGTGCGGGCCGCTCGTCCTCCTCGCCCTTCTTTCGTCCTCCCGTCCCACCCCTCCACCATGGCCTTCTCGGCACTTCTTTCTCCATCCGCCTCGCCCTGCCTTTTCGCATCGTGCCGTTCGCCCTCCATTCGGTGACCTCCATGGCTGTCCGCCCCTTTTTGGGTGGCGCTCTCGATACGGTTGCGTCAACCTCGACGTCGCTGTCGCCCTCCCCGTCCCCGCCGGCGTCCGTGCCTCGGTTCGCGTCATCGGTAGCGTCTCCGTTGTTCCCTCGTGCCCCGCCGTCGCCCTCTCTGCTCGGGCCGTTAGCGATTTCGCTCCTCCTGCGTGTCGCCCCTCCGTCCCCTCCCCTTTCTTCGTCGTCATCGTCGCTGTCGCGAAAGCCCTCCGGTCCCTCGATTCCCTCGCCTATCCCCTCCGCTGCGTCGTCCCAGTTTATATCCTCATCCTCTGCGCACGTCGCGTTGGCTTCCTCTTTCCCCCTTTCCTCCCTGCCCCTCTCGCTGTCTGGTGTTAATGGACCCCCTTCCTCTCCCTCGCCACCGTCACCGTCTCCATCCCCGTCGCTACTGCCCTCCATGCCCGCCGCCCTTTGTTTCACACTCGTCTCTGCCATGTCCGCCGTCGCCGCCGTCCTGTCTGCTGCGCTCTGTGCTCCGTGGTACAGTCGCTTATTGTTGCTCAGGATTAGCTCACGCACCAGGACAGCCTCCTGCTCGTTATTTTGGCTTGCCGATATGCATCCAAAGTTCCACGCTAGCTCCTCCTTCGTCACGTCTATCTATTTGCAGTATCTCGCGAATGCCGTCCGC